AAAATAACCATATACGGACACTTTCAGTTTTGCCCAAAGTCAAGCACTTTTTAGTTATAGGCCCCCAAAGATGTGGGGCCTCGGTGTTATTTTTGAAAAAAGTGATAATTTCCCAGGCTAATATCTTGCAAACCGCTCGGAATTTATTTAATACCAAAAATCGATTTTTGAGTCCATTTTCTGGCAAAAAGGATTGAAATCTGTGCTCACTTTTATTTCTCAATTTTTGAGTGAAAACATAAAAGTCCATTTTCTAAACTCGGCTAAACTCGAGCCCCCAGGGCAAAAAGCTTTAAAATCTGTGATCACTTTTATTTCTCACCAAAAATCGATTTTTAAACGAAAACATAAAGGTCAATTTTCTGGCTAAAGTAGAGGCCCCAGGACAAAAAGTATTGAAATTTGTGATCCCTTTTATTTCCGACCAAATTTTTGACTGAAAAAATTTTATTTCCGACCAAAAATCGATTTTTAAACGAAAACATAAAGGTCCATTTTCTGGCTAAACTAGAGGCAAAAAGCTTTAAAATCTGTGATCACTTCTATTTCTCACCAAAAATCGAGTTTTGGGTGAAAACATAACAATCCATTTTCTGGCTAAACTAGAGCCCCCAGGGCAAAAAGCATTAAAACCTGTGATCACTTCTATTTCTCACCAAAAATCGAGTTTTGGGTGAAAACATAACAATCCATTTTCTGGCTAAACTAGAGCCCCCAGGGCAAAAAGCATTAAAATCTGTGATCACTTTTATTTCCGACCAAAAATCGATTTTTGACTGAAAACATAAAAATCCATTTTCTGGCTAAACTAGAGGCCCCAGGGCAAAAAGCATGGAAATCTGTGATCACTTTTATTTCCGACGAAAAATCGATTTTTGACTGAAAACATAAAAGTCCATTTTCTGGCTAAACTAGAGGCCCCAGGGCAAAAAGCATTGAAATCTGTGATCACTTTTTTTTCCGACCAAAAATTGATTTTTGAGTGGAAACATAAAAGTCCATTTTCTGGCTAAACTAGAGGTCCCAGGACAAAAAGCTTTAAAATCTTTGATCACTTTTATTTCCGACCAAATAAAAGTAAAATAAAAAAAATAAAAATTTCCGACCAAATATGAGTGAAAACATAAAAGTCCATTTTCTAGCTAAACTAGAGGCACCAGGGCAAAAAGCTTTAAAATCTGTGATCACTTTTATTTCCTACCAAAAATCGCTAAACTAGGCTAAACTAGAGGCCCTAGGGCGAAAAGCTTGAAAATATGTGATCACTTTTATTTCTCACCAAAAATCAATTTTTGAGTGAAAACATAAAAGTCCATTTTCTGGCTAAACTAGAGGCCCCAGGGCGAAAAGCTTGAAAATCTGTGATCACTTTTATTTCTCACCAAAAATCAATTTTTGAGTGAAAACATAAAAGTCCATTTTCTGGCTAAACTAGAGGCCCCAGGGGGAAAAGCTTGAAAATCTGTGATCACTTTTATTTCTCACCAAAAATCGATTTTTGAGTGAAAACATAAAAATCCATTTTCTTGCTAAACTAGAGGCTCCAGGGCAAAAAGCTTTAAAATCTGTGATCACTTTTATTTCTCATCAAAAATTGGCTTTTGAGTGAAAACATAAAAGTCCATTTTCTGGCTAAACTAGAGGCCCCAGGGCAAAAAGCTTTAAAATCTGTGATCACTTTTATTTCGCACCAAAAATCGATTTAGAGTGAAAACATAAAAGTCCAAAATATCGATTTTTGACTGAAAACATAAAAGTCCATTTTCTGGCTAAACTAGAGGCTCCAGGGCAAAAAGCATTGAAATCTGTCATCACTTTTTTTTCCGACCAAAAATTTATTTTTGAGTGGAAACATAAAAGTCCATTTTCTGGCTAAACTAGAGGCCCCAGGGCAAAAAGCATTGAAATTTGTGATCACTTTCTTTTCCGACCAAAAATTGATTTTTGAGTGGAAACATAAAAGTCCATTTTCTGGCTAAACTAGAGGCCCCAGGGCAAAAAGCATTGAAATCTGTGATCACTTTTTTTTTCGACCAAAAATTGATTTTTGAGTGGAAACATAAAAGTCCATTTTCTGGCTAAACTAGAGGTCCCAGGACAAAAAGCTTTAAAATCTTTGATCACTTTTATTTCCTACCAAAAATCGATTTTTGAGTGAAAACATAAAAGTCCATTTTCTGGCTAAACTAGAGGAACCAGGGCAAAAAGCATTAAAATCTGTGATCACTTTTATTTCCGACCAAAAATCGATTTTTGAGTGAAAACATAAAAGTCCATTTTCTGGCTAAACTAGAGGCACCAGGGCAAAAAGCTTTAAAATCTGTGATCACTTTTATTTCCTACCAAAAATCGCTAAACTAAGCTAAACTAGAGGCCCCAGGGCGAAAAGCTTGAAAATATGTGATCACTTTTATTTCTCACCAAAAATCAATTTTTGAGTGAAAACATAACAGTCCATTTTCTGTCTAAACTAGAGGCCCCAGGGCGAAAAGATTGAAAATCTGTGATCACTTTTATTTCTCACCAAAAATCAATTTTTGAGTGAAAACATAAAAGTCCATTTTCTGGCTAAACTAGAGGACCCAGGGGGGAAAGCTTGAAAATCTGTGATCACTTTTATTTCTCACCAAAAATCGATTTTTGAGTGAAACATAAAAATCCATTTTCTTGCTAAACTAGAGGCTCCAGGGCAAAAAGCTTTAACATCTGTGATCACTTTTATTTCTCATCAAAAATTGACTTTTGAGTGAAAACATAAAAGTCCATTTTCTGGCTAAACTAGAGGCCCCAGGACAAAAAGCTTTAAAATCTGTGATCACTTTTATTTCGCACCAAAAATCGATTTTAGAGTGAAAACATAAAAGTCCATTTTCTGGCTAAACTAGAGGCAAAAAGCTTTAAAATCTGTGATCACTTTTATTTCTCACCAAAAATCAATTTTTGAGTGAAAACATAAAAGTCCATTTTCTGGCTAAACTGGAGGCCCCAGGGCAAAAAGCTTGAAAATCTGTGATCACTTTTATTTCTCACCAAAAATCGATTTTTGAGTGAAAACATAAAAGTCCATTTTCTGGCTAAACTAGAGGCCTCGGGGCAAAATACTTTAAAATCTGTGATCACTTTTATTTCTCAACAAAAATCGTTTTCTGGCTGAACTCTAATGTTGTTGCCTGCTCACAAAGAACAAAAATTGTGAACATATGAAGTCAAAAAAATCTTCATGATCAGAATCGCAAAAAGTAATTGTTCTATAAGTAGCAAACCGTTCAAAATGTAAGAAAACAATCAACTACAAAAATGTTCCTAAGATCTCAGTAAACAACTTTCTAAAACATATGTACTTCCTAGGAATGATAGATTAGTCGCAAAAGTGAAAAGTTTGTTTTTTCTTTACTTCAACATTGAGATACAATGCTATCTATTACAAAAATTATAAAAAAAGTATTAGTATTATGTTTATAATGTTGATGGACCTGAACTTGCAAATTGCACTCTTTTAAGTTGTGGACACAAATCGTCGTCCGAATCTGACTATGTTTCGGAACTTATGATGTCCACAGGCACGTTGCTTCCAGACTGTCTTCCATTTTCTTTACATACTTCATTAACATCATACAGGGTGATCTTGTGACTCCACCAATATACCTGTGACTCATGAATTAGAAAAGCAATGCAAAATAATGCGTCAATATTAATATATATACTTATCTTTGGGGGCCTATAACTAAAATAGTGCATGACTTTGGGCAAAACTGGAAGACACGGGTCTTCTTATTTTTGGTCTTTTATCATATAGTGGTGTATGTATATGGTTATTCATCCAAGACTTAAATAATTACACACAGTGTAATTAAACACATGAGCGAAAAGATTAGACGTATCAACTATGTATTTTCAACTATATAATTACCGAAGATAATATGAGTTCAAATTTGTATAAATGACGTATTTTCGGGAAAATTAAAATAATTGTAAATTATTAAATTATGTAAGTAGCACAATAATACTCACTAAGTGTGTGTGTTTTTTTTGTAATTTCTGTTTTATTTTTTTGTGATAAACCTTTATACGTTTCCCTTATGGAATGTATCTCGTATTTTTGGTACTTGCATAAAAATATTTATATAGACAATCAGTTGTTATTTCCTTTAAAGCTCTTTGTTTGCATGAAATACTGTCAGTTACATACAGTGGCAAGCAGTGTCAAACACTGGAGATAAAATATACTAGAATATTAGTTTTTCATAAGAAAATTTGCCCGAAATTTCTTTTATTTCACTAGTTAATTGCTAAATTGGTTATAAATCTACCGATCAAATCCTGTGAAGATATTTTTATGTGTTTGATCATATAAAGTGTTTCATGGTATTTGATCATATAAAGTACAAGTTTTACGGACAAAATCAGTTAAAAGTAAAATAAAATAAAAATTTCAAATTTAAACATATTTTGCTCCAAAACCTTAATCGATTTTACTAAAACTTCAGATATATGTTTCCTATTATCGGAAATGTTATATTCTAAAAAAATATAACAGTAAAGAATTAAGCCTATTTTCAAAATCCTCAGAGTTCAAATCACAGGTATTGCTAAAGGTAGTACCTTTACCTTATTTAATATTTTATATATTACTCATAAATCACAAAAGAAAAGTTTGAAAAAAATTAAAATTTGCCTAACAAAATGTTTAAAAGTTTTAAATTGGCGTTTTGAAATTGCCGTCTGAAGGGTTTCTTATATATGACTACAACAAAAAATACTGTTTACGTTATCAAATTAAGAAAAAAAACTTATATTTATGTAAATACGAATATATTTAAAAGGTTTATAAGAATATTTCCCAAAATATGTTAATTGTTTTGAACATTTCCGTTTTGTTATCTAAACGATCTGAGGAATTTGTAATAACTTTTACAATTTTTAACAGATTTCTGTGCTTTATATCTTATTGAAACGATAAATTATTTTTTATTTAATAAATATTTAAATTTATTTTTCAGATTTCCATATATAAATCTAGCAATCAACGCAATTTGAGGTACAAAATCAGCGAGTAAAAAAAGATTTACCATTTTTGGAATAGAGGTATGTAGGATTTTTTTTGTTTTTTGTTATTTATGTAAAACCTAATTATGAATGAATTGAAGCTTTAATTACTTAAAGACCATTTATCAGTCCCACTGTGCATACGTTAAAACATCGTAGCATTACTTTTTTTCTTTCTATTTTTTACCTTTCAAAGATTTTCCTTAAAGGGGAATATTTTTTAGAATTAATTCTTGTTTTTTTTTCAAGCTTGCTATTAATGTTCTTCCATGTTCTGTTTTGCTAAAAAAAACCTCTTTCCCCTACTTCAATTCTTCTTTAATTTTGTTTACTTTGCGTAACGTTTAAAAGTTTGACTTAATTAACAGCAAATGGTTGGGAAAAATAAAGCCCTGAAGTGCCGTAGGAAAAAAGGTGCTGAAGTCGCTCTAAAGAAAGTTGTAATTAAAAAAAGGGAATGAAACAAAGTGGAAAGTTTAAAATGTGTAAGAGAAAATGTAAAAGAAGATTGTAGCAGAACATGTCTAAGAGTTAATTCCGAACCTTTTGAAGTAAATCAACTGGTGGCATTAGTTGCATATTAATGCAATTCCGTAATATGCGGGTGTAGAAAGACAAAATATCTTTTCATTTGCCCTCTAAATGTACGATATATCTATACATTCAACAATTTACGATTGCATCATATACACGTGTCTATGTGCATGGCTAAGTAAAAGGATTAAATAAGCAACAGTTAAAGAATAGATACCACCATCATGTATTGAATATATTAACTGCTTCTGCATCAATGTCATTGGTATGCACGTGCCACGCGTGTGTCACACGTTAAAGCGTAACCTTTATTCGAAACGTAGGAAGGACAGTACATTGTGTTGCAGCAAGTTTTTTCTTTTGCTCTGTTAGTCTACCATCATTATCATCATCATGGCTGTACTCAGTTGTTGTGTGGTAGTTACTACTTTTAACCAAATCCCTTGTTGGGTATTACTCTCATTCAAACAGTTCGCCAAGTCGACTCAGATAGTTTCGCTAGAGTTTGACTATTTGTTGCTGTAATCATCACATGTTATGCCGGTTCAGGTGTTAAATGTTAAACAAAAACCCTCACACTCCTTACAATGCATTTCTATATTTGCTGAATGCATATATGGATGAATGATTTTTATATTCAACTTGCGGTTGAGGTATATTAATATTTGTTGTTGTTGATATTCAGTGACAACCTGTAGATGTATTAAAGACAAGGAAAAACCAGACGATTGTGTTATCTTTTAAAATTGATTAAATCCTTAAAGTGTGTTTTTGTTTTAGCCCCGAAATACGCCTACTGCTGATAGGTTTGATGGTATTCATTCAAGACTACAAACATGAACTTGTACCTGTTGTCGTATGAAAGTATAAATAAAAAATGTTGGAATTTTCCAATAACTTTTAATCTATCCGTTTTAGTATGCAAGGTATTGGTAGCAATGATATCCTTTGTAAATCTTTAATTTAATGTAAATTCCTGGCCTTTTTTGGAATTAAAATTCCCTTTTCATATCTGGCCTTGACTAGCATGCATAAAATAAATCCTTCTTTTATGTTCTGTTTTTGTTGGTTAAAGCCCAAAAAGCTTTGATAAATGCAGACATTTTTCAAACTTTCCTTTTTTGGTTAGACAGGATTCTGCATATGTTGAATGCCAAAGAATTTTAGTTGTTTTTTATGCTCATTTTCTGTGTAAAAGCTACAATTGCAGTTTTATTACAAATACATTTTTTGTATTATTCACCATTTTTTATTAAATATGTTAAACACTATGCAACCGGAAAAATATCTGACATTTATATACCCTACACCTATTAGCACTCTAGTGGGAACCTTTTCTGAATACAATTAGATTAATTATTATATTTTAATTATTGTTATTTGGTGTTATTTGTTATTTGGGTATATGAACGAATACATTTGACTATTGTCTCGTACTTGTTTTATGAATGGATGGAGCTACATACAAATTTAAAAGAAAAGTCTGTTATTGAAATCGAATTTTGTCAAAAGCGTACCTCAAAATTGTAGTTGAGTTTCGAGGTTACGTTTACAATGTCTACTCTTATATAATGATTATAGTTTCAGATGTATATATTTAAATGTAGAAGGCAGTAATTAAATCGAAGGAGATTATAACAAAATCTTAAAAACTTCATTAAATTCACATTTAAAACTCATTCAATTCCACAGTTGACTACTTCTTTTATTATTACTTTTTACTATTTAGTAAGTAATTTCTTCTAATTCTTTTTGTTTTTTGTCTATCGTGATACATATTTTTCACTCTTCTAAGAAACTAATGTTCTTTTGATGCAAATATCCATGTCAAGAGCAAATCGAAATAAAATAGACTTGAAATATATTTCCTTCTTTCAGATTTTGTTGTTTTTGTGTTATTCGTTTTCTATTTTATTCAATAATAATAATAAAACGTACATGTACCCGGTACTTACATTTAGTACATTTTGCTTATAACCACGAATAATGGACCCAAGAATTCATAAAGGAATGTCATCATCATTACTTAAGGGATTTACAAGGTATTACACACACATCCATACAATAATACGAGTAGATTCAACATCGCCAACAAAGAGTGGTAAAAAGAAAAAATGAAATAAACCAGCAAAAACTAACTCAAATGAAAAAAAGAATAGTGCGCTTGAAGGCAGTTCAGAGAAATTCGCATAAACTGCAAGAACTTCTGTATTCAATAATAAAATAAAAAAATATGTATAACTTCTTCAGCAACCATTCACTTGCCATTTACTTGTATGAAATGAAAACGATGAAGTTCTACGACTAGAAGTAAAAAAATAAAACGAAAGAATGATATTCAGTTTTAGCTACAACCCAGTACACAGTGGTATTGGAATCGAAAACTATTTGATAAATCTTTATGAACAATTTTATTCGATTGACCTAAAGAGCAAATTTAGTCCAAAGGCCTGATGTTTTCGACTTCTGCAGCCTTACCATAACCTTAATTGAAATCATTAAAAACATTTCCAAACCACTGTTCAGTAGGAACCATCAGCAGCAGGTATTAGTAATTTGCATTCTGGTAGACGTGTATGTGGTGTATTCACATTCGTAAAACTGTTAGCGAGCAAAAGTAAAAAAATAACGAAAGTAGAATAGAATAAGTGTAGTAAAATCGTAAGCAATTTTAATATGTATTTTTAAAGTAGAAATATATTGACTTACATATATAATTCGTAGCAAGTATGTAAGTATGTATGTATGTATATCAGTATATCAGTATACATATTTTGAATACTCAAATCAATGATGGAAGAAAATGTAGAAGTTTAGGCGTTTTAAGTTTAAGTAAATGCATTTATATTCATATGTACCATGTATATGTATTTATATACAATTTGTACTTAATATGAACAAATATATGTATACATATGTACTATGTACTTACACTTATGTCCTTTAATTAGTATCTTAATCTTAAGTTATTGTATACATAGTTACATTCGTTGCAAGTTGCAACTTCCTAGTTATCTATTTACTTGTGTGTATTTAAACATGACAATATAACCCAAAAATATTGAGAGGAATCAATGTATCCTTTTTAGAGGACATTTTTCTCATGAAAATCCTGACCTCAGTACAATTTATAAAAAATATGGTTATGGGTGAGTTTGAAGTCCATAGACGGCTGGATCGATTTTCTTGAAATGTTCACAGAATCTTCCTGTATACTTCTGGAAGGAACTATTGCGGGCAGTACTACCAAATTTAAAAAATAATTTAGTTTTGCTTGCAAGTAACCAGTTAGTACACCTGTAAAGTATAAAATAAATGAACAGAAGGACAAAAAGACATTGCAGAGTCAATTGTTTAATTGCATTCGAAATGCATGTTAAATAACTAGTCACGAAACTAAATTTGTTAGCGTTAGGTAGAATCACTAGTTCGTAATAGTCAGCCCGAACTGCAAGGAATATTGAGCAATGTATATACTACATATCGTACATACATACATATGCAGACATGTGGATATGTGTTTCAAAGAACAATGTAATTCTAGCAACAATGACGACACGTTTAATTTATTTTTAAAACAAGTAACACTTTAGCAAAAGGAAGGAAATGGATTTACAAAATCCTCAACAAATTAAAATTTTATCATTTTAGTTAGTTAATCCATTCACACATGCACATTTCATTTATACAACAACGATACAATAACAACATTTAAAGAATATATTCAGTTTACGTTTTGCAACGATGCAAATACATACATAATATAAAATAAAATTACATTTAAAAACACAAACAATTATTTAGTTTGTTTTTAAAATTCTTTATTTCATTGTGGTACTTTTTTCTACCTTTTATTCTATCTTAAAATCTTTTAACTTTGATCACTATAATTTTCCATCAAAAATCTATTTTTGGGGAAAAAGAATAAAAACATTTATTTCTGATCATTTGAATTTTCATCAAAAATATATCACTTCGTAACAAATCGAAATATTGGTCGTAAACCAAATTGATTCGTTATAATTTTAGTTTTTTGTATAATTTAATTTAAATATTTCATCTCTAAGCATTCAATTTAACGATTAAGTAGTTCCATAAAAACTGCAAATTTAATTTTTGTGATGAATAGAAATTCCAAGAAGAATGAACATTTTTACTTCCTTTTAATATTTCATCTAACAAACTCCCCTTGCCTTTAAGGAATTATTTTCTAATGTCATTAAAGTTGAAATTAATTTCAACTGAAACATTGTTATCAATTGAACTGAGGACATTTCAGTTTTGATTTTAGCTTTTTTGTTGCTTTTCTCTGTGATCATCCGGCAAAATGTAAAACTTTTACAACTTGAAGTCGATGTCAGAAATAAACAAGCAAATGAATAAAAGAACGAATAAACCCCTCAAAGCAAACAATTTAGTTGCTTAAATAAATTAAGCAAAAAGAATTCAATTGAAATCATGAGAAAAAAAACAGGGAAATGAGAACATGACGCATATTTATGAGT